GCGTCTGTGAGGAAAATCCTTTATGATCGATCTTGTGCTAATTTTCAAAGTTGAAGGAACGGCATCCAAGACGATTTTTGTCATTTGAGGAGATTTTCACGCCATATTTTGTATTGTTTGAATATCTCAGCAAAATGTGATGTTCTCAGCTGGTTGTTCCTTATACAATGGGTCAGAGGTGGAGCATTGAGGTTTATAAAGACAAACGTTTATTATAAAGCAGGATGAGAAAATTGAAAATTACCCCGGGTGTCGCGTGGTACTGAGTAGTGCGATATCTATTGGTTAAAAACCATGTGGTAATAATTAAATTTAATTATTTCGTTTACTTCTGCTTTTGTTTATTTATCAATCTTTCATATCGCACATTCAATCCGACCGCCTTTCAAGGATATAATCGGGTTTATATTTTAAAATTCATGATTGTATAAAGGGGGGTAGGTGGGGGTGTTTAGTATAGTAGCAGGAGCGCTTAATTCGAGCGCGTGGGCGGTTTAATCAAGGACGTATAAAATGTTTTACAAGCTGTTCCAAAAAAGCACACGAATACACTGCGCAACAGTGCTCAAGTTTATTTACTGAAAGGGAAAAAAAGAAAGAAGTTGAAAAATTGAAAATTGGCTGATATATATTACTTCTACTCTACTTATCTGAGTAAAAACCCCAACACAACCTTTTTTCTTTTCATTTCTTTAATAACATTGGCATAGCCGCGTATGTTGCGCGGTTATATAAATTATTATCGTAATTAAGTTCGGTAGAGATAAAAGTTCCAACTTCATATATAGAGCCATGTAATATCGCTTTTAGTTTACTTACCTTTTTAGAATAGTAACTTGTTTACCATTTTTGACACCACTGCTTAACTTTGCCGAATGTAGCCCTCAACAAAGATTAGGGCCCGACTGGATGCCACTCAAGATAGAGCCTGGTCAATCTTGTCTCTCATCACTGACTCCACGGTTTCTTTACAGAGTGAGTTTGTTCCACTAGACTATATTGTTTTTGCCTTACAAAGTATATTCTCTGTTTCATTATTTTTAATTAGAGTAATTTTCAGGTTGTAAATACATCACGAGTGCTGATTCCAAAAGTGTGTGTGTGATTCTCATGTTCAGCTGGCAGGTGCTCCGTGGAGCTGTGAACATTGTTTTTATGCCGCGTTAAAGATAGGATGTGGCGTTCTTGTGCTGTTCAAAACCTTGAATCTTTCCTTTGCAGCGATCAGAACGTAAGTATTAAAGCATTAAATTGTTTCCCTTTTAACAAAACAATAGTCTAGTCACTGAAAAGTTTATTAACCATGGCATTCAAATTTGCTTCCTGTAATGAATGGAATTTAAGAAGTTGTCGTACTACGTTGTAGCTTAAGGCTTAATTCTTCCACTTTGATTCACCATGATTAAACGGCTATGGTAGAACAAAATGCTCCAAAATCAGGCTGCTTGAATGAATGTTATTAACACGGATATACACGGGAACGGTATAATTTCTATCAAGTGCAATTCAGTATGGCTTGTTTTTGCTGTCTCTCGTCAACATTTTCGAACACTGTGAGCCATTTTACTGGTCGTATAACTCTTGCTATTGAGATTAATTCACTGACAAAATGAATGCTAGAATAATCTAAAACTAAGTTTATGAGCGTACAGCAGAAGCGCCAATTATTGCATGGGAGGTTTACTGCGTAAGAAAAAAAAAAAATACAATAATAAAAAACGTGATTCGCTTCGAGAATACAGTCATATGTAATGAAACGAGTTCCATTTTCCATTTTCGACTCTATTCATAGTAGTCTCTCATTGTATCTGCTTTGCATTGTAATCTAGCAAGAACGATAATATAGTTGCAATAGCAATACATAATAATTAATAGTAATATAATGTTACACTTGCAAAAATCCGACTGATTAGAGAACGAGCGCAGGCTTTTATGTGACACAAGTGGAAATTACAACGAGGATCCGAGAAGCCGACAGTCACTGATCATTCGTATTCCAGAATTGTCGGAATTTAGCCCGAAGCCCTCCGTTTATTTAGTGATCTATTTATTGATTAATATTTACTTGATTTTTATTACCAGGCGAAACAAAGATGAGCGATACACTATACTTCGGCCTGACGCTGACCTACTCTTTACTGATCGCGGTCAACCTGGTTGGTAACACTATGGTCATTGTGGTTGTTGTGCGAAACAAATCCATGCAAAGGTCAATCAACTATCTGCTCGTGAACCTAGCGGCTTCGGACATGACTGTCGCGATTTTCGCCAGCATTCAATTTATCGTCGAGCCGACGCTCTCTCGCGTTGAGCCTTTTACAGCGAATTTCCTCTGCAAGTTCGTGACTGGTGGAACACTGGGCTGGGTCGGTGCTACATGTTCCATCTTTAATTTAGTTGGTATTAGCATCGAGCGGTACTACGCCGTAATTGTTCCACATCGCCACTGCGGGAAACTTACTTATGACAAGCTCAGGATCTTTATATTCGTCAGTTGGACGTTAGGTCTTATTTGGGCCAGTCCTGGTTTCTTTATAACTACTTACATAACAGAATCCCAAATGTGTGGACATCACTGGCCGAAGGCGATCTACGCAAAGATTTACACCGTGGGATGGTCTCTTGTGGCCGGCATCATACCCATAGGAATCATGGGATCATTGTACTACCGAATCATTTATCGTCTTTGGTTCACAAAAGACAACACCACAGAGGTTACCCAGAAGGCACTGCTCCGCTACAGGCGGCGCTTAACGAAAATGGTGATTGCAGTGACAATAATCTATGCCCTGTGCTGGGGTCCTGAGCTCATGATCTACTTACTTGGCTTTCTTGGCGTGTTCACGTTAAAGGCAATTCATCACGGAGTAGCATTCGCTTTCGTTGTGTTTAATTCTTGTGTTAATCCTATCGTTTATAGTTTTCAAAGTGGACAGTTTAGGACTCATCTATGGGCCTTAATTCGTTGCCGAAAACGCGGTGGTCGAGCCATTTACCCAATGAAGAGTTTTTGAAAGTCAGGCACGGAATTAACAGCGCAGTCCAATCAACACAGCTATATGGCTGTACTACATGCAATTCTTCTCACAATTGTAGATAGTATTCGATTTTAACGAGTAATTTCTCTTCTCACTCCTGGCACATCTACCGTCGTGGCATTGTC